ACTAACGCAGAGGTGGAGAATGAAGGAGTGGAGTGGGGAGGGCAGCGCAGGAGGTCCAGGGTCCACAGCCCAAGCCAAGACAGCTAAGCGCGGGGGGTGGAGGTGGAGGGGTGGAGTGGGAGGGCAGCGCGGGAGGGAGGGCGTCCCCAGCCCGCGCCAGGCAGCGAAGCGGAGGTGGGGACGGGTGGGATGGGGGCGGGGACAAGCGCGGCGGCGGGCGGCACTCGGGATTGGCCGGGCGCGGCCCCACTCTCGGCCAATCGCCTGCGCGCACTGTCGGCCGCCGGGTCCCTGAGCCCCACCCAGCTCAGGGTTGCGGCTCCGAGGAGCAGCTGTTGGGGTCTGAGTCGCGGCGCCCGGACGCGCAGCCCCGCCGCTCTTTCCCGCGTCTCCGTCCAGGTGAGCGCCCGCCAGGCCAGGAACCGCCCCCCCACCCCTGGGCGAAAACGAGGTCAGGCTGTGGTCGACCGCCTCCGGCGGGCGGAGTCCCACCCTCCGCCAGGTTGCATCATCCACCTGCGCGCGGCAGGCAGGGCCGGCGTCTCGCGCCCCAGCGTCAGAAGGTTTGAGGCCGGGATTCAGCGCCCACGTGGCTGGGCCTCCCCCACGCAACCCCGCGGCTGTGGAGCCCGGAGGAGTGGGGGGGCGGGAGCCGAGGTGCGATCATTGATTTTCGCTGTATTTTGGAGGAAACGGCTGTTTCGCAGGTCTTTTCCGTCAGCTATATGAGGGTGGGAGTAAATATTCATGTAGTTGCGCGGACGGCACGTGGGGTGGGTGCCCGTGGGGGAGGGCGCAGAGCAGGGGTCGTGTCCTGGGCACATACTCGGATTGCCCAGCGACCCCCACTTCCCCGGACCCTAGGGGAAGGCGGATGTGGTTGACTGAGGGTGCAGCAGGGGGGGGGAGGGTGGAGGCCAGGAACGCAAAGTTTTAACTTCGCCAAAACTTAGGGTGTTTGTCCCGGAACACGCCTCCCAGCAGCCTCAAATCTGCCTAGCAGAATCTCGATATGCCACCTGAAAACTCACTTTACAAACAGGAGTTTACTACCATTCGCACCTGACCCTGACCATCCCGCCCCCCCACACTGGACCCAACTGGGGCGATGTGTCTGCAGGTGCACGATGCCCCTGGGGGGCGTGTGACCCCAAGGAGGGTCGCGCTACTAAGATGGGGTTTCAGGCGGGCAGGGTCCGGCAGGGCAGCGCCAGGTGACCCACTGCCGGGACACACATTCACTTGGCCCGCGGGGCGTGAGGCTGAGTCTCGCAGTGGGAACCCGCAGGTTCCGGACCGGTGCCAAGCAGCGCCTGGCCCAGTGCTTTTAGGGTCCGGAGACTCGGTCGGCTTCGATCTTTGGCGCCCAGCGGCTCTTACCTGGAGGCTATGCCGACTAGGCAAAATTACGCGGGGAAGGCAGCGGGGCTGCCCAGCGATCGCCGGGCGCTTCCGCGAGAGCAATTAAGCGATTCTGGCAGTCCTGCAGCAGGCAGCGTGCCTGCCAACCCAGAGCGCTGCTGGGGCTGCCCTCCGATGGAGGAGGGTCTGTGAAGCCAGGCAGGGGCAGTTCTTGCAGTGGAAGAGTGCCTGAGAAAAGTGCTGGTCTCCTTAGGGCGGGGCGGGGTGGGGGGAGTTCCTAAAGTTAGAGAAGGGGAGGGGGCATCCTCAGTGGCCTCAGGGAAGACCTGGGAAAAGCTTCCAAAAAGAAGCGGTGATCCCAAGGCTGAAGAACCACATCTAGGCAGGTTGTTGGGACAGCTGGGGCTGGCTACTCTGGGTCAGGACCCCACCAGAAGCCTGGTGAATATCAAGGATGTGTTACAGAGTATTTTGGGTTCTACAACTCCTGTTAGCAGGCTCGGCCTGAAGCAGAATGTAGCCAGCCATGGGCACTGGGCTGCATCAGACCACCTGCACTGGGGAAATGTAAGACAGCTGGGGCTGCCTCTGCCTTCGCGTGTAACCAGCCTGGTTCTGCGTGCCCTGGAGGAGAGAAGGTCAGCCGAGGCATGCCGAAGCCTGGTTTACACCTCCGTGTGAGGCCTTTACGCGCCATTGATCTGCTCGGCCACTCACCTTTCACAGCAAAACTGCCTCAGGAAGGTCTTGGGGGCACAGATATCTGTGGGCTCGATCCCGACCACAGGATTATAGGCCTGGTCGAAATCAGTCCGCTCAACTTGTTGAGCCACCAGGTGCCCCAGAGCACCCCCCCCCCTTTTTTTTTTAGGTATTTTAGTTTAGGAAAAATTGGGAAGACAAGTTCCGTATGCCTGCTTCCTAACACTTTCCCTGAGTAGCCGAGCCTGTTGCATTAGTAGGTCTTTGTTACCGTTAGTGAGCGCCAGCTGTTAACTGAAGTCTCTGCTGAACTCAGGTTCCCTCAGTTCCCCTAGCCCCCTTGAGCTCTTCCGGGATTCATGGAGGATATGCCTGCGTTTATTACCGGTGTCTCTTGTGGGCGCCATTTGAGGTGAATCCCAGTCTGTGGAGGGGTGGCCGTGTTGGAGGAGCCGGGCTCTGTCGTCCCGGTCGCTGTGGAGACGGGAGAAGGGGGCAGAAGACAGGCTGAGTTCAGTCCCAGTCTTTCCGAAGATGAGGGTGGTGCCTGTTGGTTGTCACCCCAAAGGGGCGAGGCAGGCGTACAGCTCAGTGAGGCCTCACCTCTGATTGAGCCGGTCCCCGTCTGTCCGTCTGTCCTTCCTTCCGTCAACTTGTCTTAATCTGTTTTAAGGTTATGTGTGATTTATTTATTTTTTTAAACTTTTTAATTTTTAAGTTCATTTATTTATTTTGAGAGTGAGAGTGAGCACAAGCAGGGGAGGGGCAGAGAGAGAGAGAGAGAGAGAGAGAGAGAGAATCCCAAGCAGGCTCCACATTGTCAGCACAGAGCCCGAGGCTCGAACTCACAAACTGCGTGATCATGACCTGAGCCCAAGTCGGATACGTAACCCACTGAGCCACCGAGGTGCTTAAATTCATGATAAGGTTTTTGTGACATCCTCTTTATGGTTCTACACACTCACAAGGGCACAATTCCGTAGCATTAAGTACATTCACAGGTTGTGCAACCATCACCAGGATCTGTATGCAAAACGTTCATCAGGTCAAACCAAAACTCCTCCCCATTCACCAGCGACGCCTCATAACCTCTGTCCTACCTGATGAGTTTCCTCTGTGAATCTGCGGATCGTAGGCTCCTCTTTCCCACAGGTGTAGCCGTACGGGGTTTTCCCTTCGTGTGGTTTGTTCACAAAGCGCAGTGTGTCCGAGGCCCCCTCACCTCGTAGCATGTATCAAAACATCATTCCTTTTTTTTTTTTTTTTTTTTTTTTTTTTTTTTTTTTAATTTTTTTTTTCAACGTTTATTTATTTTTGGGACAGAGAGAGACAGAGCATGAACGGGGGAGGGGCAGAGAGAGAGGGAGACACAGAATCAGAAACAGGCTCCAGGCTCCGAGCCATCAGCCCAGAGCCTGACATGGGGCTCGAACTCACGGAGCGCGAGATCGTGACCTGGCTGAAGTCGGACGCTTAACCGACTGCGCCACCCAGGCGCCCCATCATTCCTTTTTTTTTAGGGTAAATACATCATTATCTCCATTTCTGATATCCATCATATAAACGTAGTCTTTTCAAAACAACTTTGAGGTAACAAAAGCCATATATATAGTCGACCCTCGAGCAGTGTGGGGGTTAGGGGTGCCGACCCCACGCAGTCAAAAATCCATATGTCACTTTTGACTCCCCCCAAATTTAATAGCTCACTATTGCCCGGAAGCCTTACTGATAACGTAAATAAATGGTCAGTTAACACTTGTTTTGTATATAGCATGTATTTATGCTGTACTTTCACAATAAGCTGGAGAAAAGTGTGTTAGGAAAATCGTAAGGGAGAGAAAATCCATTTACAATACTGTGTTGTATTTGTTAGAAAAATTTTTATATAAAAAAAAATTTTTAACGCTTATTTATTATTGAGCAGGCAGAGAGAGAGGGAGACACAGAATCCCAAGCAGGCTCCAGGCTCCGAGCTGTCAGCACAGAGCCCGATGTGGGGCTCGAACCCACGAACCATGAGATCATGAATGACCTGAGCCCTAGTCGGACGCTTAACCGACTGAGCCACCCAGGGGCCCCGTTTTTGTTTTTGTTTTTGTTTTTGTTTTTAAAATTTTTTTTTTCAACGTTTATTTATTTTTGGGACAGAGAGAGACAGAGCACGAACGGGGGAGGGGTAGAGAGAGAGGGAGACACAGAATCGGAAACAGGCTCCAGGCTCTGAGCCATCAGCCCAGAGCCTGACGCGGGGCTCGAACTCACGGACCGTGAGATCGCGACCTGGCTGAAGTCGGACGCCTAACCGACTGCGCCACCCAGGCGCCCCTTGTTTTTGTTTTTAATGGAGTTGTCCTTATGTGTGATACTCACAACAGAAGCCCTTTTTACACTTTGTTTTCATTTCACGTCTACGTCGTGCAAAGATTCCCCACTGTCAGATAAACAACATACCCGTCACCTCTGCGTGGGAACTTTTTTTTTTTTGTACATGCTCACGTATTGAGAAAATTTGAAAACTTTATTACTTTTTTACGGCCAAGTAATATTCCGTCGTATGGCTGTGCTACGTTTTGTGTATCCCGCATCTGTGACAGGTGTCTGGTGTGTTTCCACGTTTTGCCTCTTGTGAGTCGTGTGGCTGTGAACGTGGTGCACAGATGTCTCCAGCTCTTTGGATATATGCCTAGGAGCGCCATGCTGGCTCCCGTGGTGGTTCTGTTTAACCTTTTGAGGAACCGCCACACCGTGGCTACAGCAGCTGGCCCCGACATTTTTGTGCTTGCCCTTGTGCTGTTTGAATGTGTGGACGCCCCGCCCCTGCAGAGGGACCCTGTGAGCAGGATTGCCCAGGTCCCCAGCAGCAAAGCAGACTCCTGGGCAGGTGTTTAGAAATGGCCTGAACCAAGTCTCTCCCCCTCCCTTTGCCAGATCCCAGCATGCCTTCCGAGACACCCCAAGCAGAAACGGGGTCTGAAGGGTGCCCCCACCTCTCAGGGGCACACCTAGGGAAAGGGAGCCTGGAGAAGGGACCTCCGGGGGACAAGGAAGCCAAGGAGCGCCTGTGGATCCGTCCCGATGCCCCAAGCAAGTGTTCCTGGCAGCTGGGCAGGCCGGTCACTGACTCCCCTCATCACCACACTGTCTTGTGAGTGCCGGTTTATGATTTATTATTATTATTATTATTATTATTATTATTATTATTATTTTAGGAGAGAGAGCATGTGTACAAGCTGGGGAGAGGGAGAAAGGGGCAGGGAGAGAGAGGGACGGAGAGAATCCCAAGCAGGCTTCTTGCTGTCAGCCTGGAGTCCGATGCGGGGCTCGATCCCACAAACCACAAGATCATGACCTGAGCCGCAATCAAGAGTCGGACGCTTAACCGGCTGAGCCACCCAGACACCCCTGATTATGGGATTTAAAATCAGAACTCAGGGGCGGTAGGGAGGTGCAGGCCTCACTGGGGCTGGCAGAAATGAAAAACTTACAAATCCAGAATCCCTAAGCATTAAATGTGTCTGAGCACCGAGAGCTCAGGAGGCGATGAGCCCTCACTGCCAAAACCCAGCCGAGCAGTGGGCGAAAAAAGGCCTGCGTGAGGTTGGGGCAGCCACGAGGGACCAGGTTCCTGCGGGCCCCTGAGCCCGTCACGCGGAAGGCCTGGGGCTTTTACGCCCCGCCAAGCTCTCCCTTCGCCCTGCCTGCTGTGAGCTGCCCCTGGCCTGGCTGGGGGCGTCCCTTCTGCTCCTTGGAAGGCTGCTGTTGGAGGCTGGATTCCAGCTTGTTCCAGCGGAGGCCTGTTTGGGCCCCCAGGGTGGACTGCAGCCTCTGGCCCCCCTGGGGAGCTGGGTGCGCTGGGCCTGAGGCCAGGAATCTGGTCTTGCCGGGTTCCTGGAGCAGAGGGCTCGCTAAAGTTTGGGAACCACGGAATGTAAATTAGAAATCCAAGGGCGTAGGAAGCTAAACCCAGGTCTGTGCTGCACACCCCCGGGCGGGTGTTTGGTGAGCACGTACTTGGCACGGACAGGAAGAAGGTATGCAGTTGGCATCGGGCCCTGAGGGTGAGGAGAGAACCGCCTGTGTCGTGGCTGACACACCATCGGGCTGTCCGCACCCGACTGTCACCTGTCACCAGGTCGGAGAACGGGGAGAGAAAGCCAGTCGCTAGAATGCGAAGGGAGACAGCCGGTCGGTGATGAGGAATCCCACACTGAGCCTGGACGTCCACCTGGGAGTTCATGGTGACCTTGACCCCAGGGGCACCACTGACTCCCCAAGGTCTTTGTTTTGTTTCGAGTAGGGTGCTTCAGTCACCCGTGCCTGACATTTTCTGAGTGATGCCCGGTGGCCGGTGCACCCCTTGTGGCCGCTTTCCATCCCTGGTGGACAGCCAGGCAGCCTGAGGGGGCTCAGCTCTGGAGGAGCTTTTTTCATCAGGGAAAAGCTTTTTTCCTTTTTTCATCAAGGAAAAGAAAAGGACAAGGAATCCCAGGGGTCGGGTGCCGAGAGATGGAAGGAAGTGAAGGTCCGCAGAAAAGATTTTCTGAACGGATGCACCAGGCAGGAGCTGTTGTTGAAGTCGCGTTGTCTACTCCAGCTTCTGTACTTGGAAGTAATTTTTTTTTAACATTCACTCGTTTTTGAGAGAGAGAGCAAGCAGGGTAGGGCAGAGAGAGAGGGAGACACAGAATCCCAAGCAGGCTCCAGGCTCCGAGCTGTCAGCCCAGAGCCCGACGCGGGGCTTGAACCCACGAACCGTGAGATCATGACCTGAGCCCAAGTCGGACGCTTAACTGACTGAGCCACCCAGGCGCCCCTGTACTTG